GCTTCTGTACTCCTGCAGCTTCCAATTTTTAATGTTTTGGTCTATATTTAGGATGCCTCTGCTACCAAGAAAACTAGCACTGTTCTCCACATGGACACGGCTCTTGTGATCTTCCCGTGCAGGACCACATGCTGGCAACAGCTCTGAGGACAACTTGCAGGAACAACCCCATCATTTGTTATGGTCTTGCTGCAAAACAACTATAAATTGAGGATCTGTGTGCCATGACACACGTCTACTCTAAGGAGAACATGAAAAGGAAGTTCTTGGATACCTCATTTAAATATTTTTCTGAATAATCTCAAAATTTAGAGGTAGCCTTTCCAACCTTCACAATATGATTGGTAACACAGGAATAAATTTATGCATTTCCATGGACATTCCCAATCAGTACTGTGACTTCTACTCAAAAATGCCTTCCTTCACAATAAGGTGTCTGCGCAAAGCCCACAAAATAAAAATTTAGTTGCAGTTAAGTAAGGTATGTAGCAGAAAAAAAAAGTTCCAGCAAATACACTGACAGTAGAAATCACTTTTGATGATAATCTAGATAAGCTTGTGGCAGCATTTCCAGTCTGCTGCAGAAATAGCATGGACTTCACTCAAAGATATTTAGTAATTGCTCTTCTTTTTTTTTTTTTTTTGTTATTTTCCTGTTTGTTGCACAAGAAAGCAGATTGAATCCCCTTTTAAAACAGTGTTAATCTGGATGCCAGATGGAAGTAACTAACCTTAGATTTCTTAAATTATTAAGATCAAGAAGCTTCCGCTGAAAATATTCAAGATCAGTCAAATCTGAAATAAAAGTCATCCTTAATGAATTTCCAGTGTTGTTGAATTCTTCTAGCACTCCTTCCATAAATCATCCATGAAAGTAATATGGACAAAGATTCTTAGTTCACTAAGCTATAGCAGCCAGCAACAAAAAGAAAGTAATTACTCACTAAGAACTCATTAAGATCAATGCCAAATATCTGCTACATAAAAAAACAGCAAAAGTTCATTTGATATCAGTAGAATTACCATATAAGAACACAAAGATCCAAGAAAGATAGCTGGATCCAGCTCTGTTCAAATATTAGTGCCTTCTATTAATAGCTATGATTGAACACTGAGCTAGAAATTGGCCTTCCTATTGGCTATGGAACCGACAAAAACAATTTAAAAGGCTGTAAAAGAAAACACAGCAGTGCTGGTAGGATACCTTCTGCAGAGGAAGGAGGTTAGTTCAGTTTTTCCTCTTCACTGCTGCCTGCTAATAATGGTAGCGATAACCTCCTGGTTTGTGCAGCCTGGCAGTTAGTGTATACAGGGAAGAGGCTGCTCCTGAGCAACCAGTAAATATTCCTGGTGATCATAACCTCACTTGAATCTAACTTTTCACTCCATTTATCTGACAGGGCATGCACTTACTGAAAAGACTCGGGTACAAAATAACAATCTAACAGGACTTCACATCGAAAAGGAAAGAAAGGCTTATGGTTGACAGAAGGAAGTCAGAACCTCTGTTTCAGTTAAATATCTTTAAATTATTAATTTAGATTTTAGTTATACAGAAACCAGGGACATCAAGGCTGCTGATTAAACTTCCTAGCTGTCCTGAACACAGAGAACACAAAAGCCATACAGGTATAAAAGAGAGGAGACAAGGGAGGCAGCACTTCTTCCTTATACTGCATGGATACATGTGCGGGCAAACAAAATCCCTGTGAGAAGACACTAAGCAGAAGCAGTGAATAAATACTGGCTGCAATGCCAGGAACTTGCGAATGAAACAATAAAGAACACAGGGATAAAATTAGGACACAAAGAATGGCAGTTTGGATACACAGTGCAATGAAAATGAAGCCAGACAGATAAGTGTTTGCTCTTAGGAGTAGTTCACATTACAGTATACTTCCACAGGAAAATTAAAGTACCAAAGTATTAGCCAGACATTAAGTAACAACAGGCATTCATCACACACAAGTTCTTGTATCTTAAACTCAGAAACACTGGTGACCCAAGCAGCACACAAGCCAGTTATTCTTACTCACTAACTGAAAGAAAAATGGCTTAGGCCACAAAATAGAGGCAGCAAAAAACCCTCTGGCTATTCAATTCAGAGTTATTACACCACAGGGTAAGAGTAGATTAAAAAAAATAGCTAGCTGGAGCAACTTAACTGCCCCACCTCACCTGCCTCTTCAAAGAAGTTAGAAATTTATCTGGTATAAGGTACACTAATGGAAAGTGTTATTGACCAACAAAATGGTAAAGAAATCAAAAGAGATTTTGCACACAGGACACATTAAAGCTATAGCAGGGAAAAAAATAAAGGAGGAAGCAGCAGTCCTGAAGTTGTCTAAAAACTGGTGGAGTATTTTTGATTGTATTAAAAGATTTGATCTATTTTTGCAGCAGAATAGAAAAGGCTGCCTTGCCTTTTCCAAGAAATACTTCCTTTCCTGTAAAATAAAATAAAAAAAAATCCTGCAAAATTTTTCTTCTGAATAGGTGTTTTTAGAAACAAAAAGAGGGGCAGGAAATAATACAGCTAGCCAAATGGCTAGTAGGTGGCACAAACTACAAGAACATAACAGTAAAACTCAGAGTTTTGCTCTATTTTAAATAAAACTACAGGATTGCAGGAGATTGTTAAAATAAAAAGCTATAATTGAAACGGTTTAGCTGAATTGAAGAAAGGTAGTCATGGCCAAGTGGTAACTAAAAAGGTTAAACTTAAAATAGTTATTGATTAAGAGTTAATATTAGACAGCATGAGGTAAGTATTTTCATAGTATGTAATCTTTACCAGTAAATATTCTGAAATGTCACAGAAACTGAAGAAGCACCAAGTACTGAATAAAATACATAGCCTAAATTGTCATAATCTAATATAAAGCCGTTTCTGGCAATTACGCTATGTTGCTTTTTTTTCATGATACTACCTTCCGGTTCTTATGCTTCATAGCATCACCAGAAATTGTACCTTGTGAACTTAATGTAAGAGATATGCTTATAATGGAACACATATAGAAAAAAAGACTTAAAGATGTGTTAGCCAGCAAATTAGATGTGAGCTTCCATGGGACTATGCAGTTGGTGACAGATATGCAGCAAGATTACACTTGAGACCATCCCACCCTGTAGAGCTGTCATGGGAACCACACATGGACGGCTACATCCAGCTGAACTAGCAGGAGAAAGGCCCTGGTAAACTTCAAGGAATAAAAGAAAAGCAGCAAAAACATTGGGCTGTCTTTAGTGATAGACACAGACACTGAAAGAGAGGGAAAACAGGATTTATAACCTTGTGTCATCCTTCATTGAGTAGAAAGGGAAAATAATTACTTAGGTAGCACAGAGGCATCTTTAGGAGTATTATTTTACAACAGCACTGATTAGGAAAATAATTCCCATTCAAAAGCAGACACAATCTCTTCTGATAGGATCTCTGGGGTATCTCCAGATATGGAACATTGTGGTAGATTCAGCCAATGTACTTTGGTTCAGGCTGACTAAGGAGCAACTGGCCTCACATCCTGGGGGTGAAGTGGTGAGCTGGAAAGCCCCTAGTTCTTGCGTAAGGGAGTGAAGGTGTCTTGAAAAATATTTCAAAAGGTGGTTTGGAAACACAGAAGCGCAAGATAACCAAAGTAAAGAACAAGATGCCTGAGCTAAAATGAAGACCTCTACCTTGCCTGTATTACTGACTAGCAGCTGACTACTTCACTCTGTAAGTACTGCCCATCAGGATGGGCCCAGGCTGAGCTCCCCCCGAACCGCAGCTGGCCTGCACACCAGGCAGCTCTCCCCTGGAGCGAGGACGCCTCTCAAGGTTTGGGGTTCCTCACCTGAGACTGAGAGATCCTTCCCTACCCAAGGCGGGGAGATCCCCGACCCACGACAGATCCTGGGTGACTGATAGAATAATACTGCGAGACATTACTAATCCAAGTAGTTACTCACTGTTATGATAAACATCATATGGATAATTCCATTAGACATAAACCACTGACCAAGTCTGAGATTAAGACTGGATCCAGTCGCACCTAGGCTCTATCAGAAGTTTAGAAAGCAAGGGGGTCCACTCTGAACCTCATGACCCAACAGGAGGGTCTTCCTTACTCTCTGTGTTTCCAGGCCGTGTATCTTTCTAACTCAATTCTAACTCAACTTGCTCTTGTTTGTTTCTTCCATGAAGTAATTAATAAGGTGAACTTTGCCATCACACTTACCGAACCTTGTCAAACCACTGTTAAATTTTGTTAAATTCCATCAGTCTTATCAAGCTCTCTCACATTATTATTTTATCTCAGTAAAATGTATTGCTGCTTCTCCCTTTTGAGTGAGGTGCATTCCATTCACCTGTAACAAATATGCACCTAACAGTGATTACCAACGACAGCCATCAGCTCACGTGTGACCACCACCAGAAAGTGTATTTTCAACACCCTATTTCAATACTTTGGAAGACCTGGGCATGCTTAATGTGATCCCTGCTTCTCTTCATGGAGTATCAACTGCACTCCAATATGCAAGTCACCTTACAAGGCCTCTTAGACTAACATCCTGAACAACCGAACTGCTCTGGGGGCTACAAAAGCAAAGACAGTTATTGGCACCTCCATCCCATCAGGTCCTGCTGAGTAAACAGAATCCAAACATAGAAACAACACCTAAGGGTGAAAACAGAACCATGGCCCCACAAGTCAAATTAAGTTTGCCACTGATATCAGTGGGACTGGGATCTTTTAAAATAACGAGCAGACTAAGAAAGAACACATGAAAGGGTAGAATGTTATCAAGTCTACGTCCTCAAGAAGCCAGCACTGGCATTCTGCTGACTTGAGTTCCTCTTTCATTTAAATTCACCACAATTTCTAGCAAGACACGAAGAGCATCGTAGTGTTGCTGAACGCTGGCAAATAAACCATTTTCAAACCCACTGCAAGAAATGAAGTCATATCATATCCTCCTCACTTTTAAAAGAGACCATCTCCTTGAGTATGCATTACCTTAGCAGCAGAAGGTGCTCCACTTGCCTGTGTTTTAGGGGGTTGGCTGACATCAGCACTTGCTGGTTTCTTCTACAAAATAAAAATAAATAAATAATAATTTAAAAAAAAGACATACTATACATCAGAAACATTTACAAAGAAAAAGAAAAGCCAAAACATAGTATGAAAAAAAAGGTACACTAAAAAATGTCCATCAGAACATTTTATGCAAGGCAAGTCATCCAAAAATAAATTCTCCTATGTAACTTTAAATCATGCAGACATTTCAGACAGTTTTGCACAGCCCAGTATAGGCAGAGTTCTCTTGTACTGTTTTATGGAGGATATATAAATCTGTGCCATTTCCTGGGGCAGAGCAACTCTGTCTTAAATAACAGTTAAAGCAACAGTAACCATGTATACCTTAATGAAAAGTATCCACAAAAGCAAGATGGGTAAGCTATGGCTGTACAGATAAAATTTGAATGGCAACACAGAAGGTAACACTACATCTCAGGCAGAGAGGTAAAGATACAAAGTTAAGGGCAAAATGATGGTTTTTACAGTTAAAAAATATTCTTGCAACTGAAACAAAACCATGACATCCTCTTTGACCCTCCTGTTTTTGACCAATGCAATGCCATTATTATCAAGTACCATTGCAAAAACTCAGTTACTGCTGAAATCACATCTAATGAAGACTGGGAAAATAAGGCATCAGTAATGAATGCAGCAAAAAGCATCAGATTTTTGGAGGCAGGCAGCAGATGGGTAAGACCTATTAATTTTCTCTGGTAAGTAGAAGCTCAAGATTCAGAGCACACACTTTAATTACACTCTAGGAGCAGGGAAGTCTGTAGAATGACCAGAGATTCAATCAGCAAACTCGTATGCAAACCCAGAAGCACCAGTTTTCAATAATGGGGTATCAGGTACTGTAACAGACTGGGAGACTCAGAGACCTTTGTCATTAAGGCAATCCCACCTACTTTCACTTTCTGACTTAGCTCCAAAAGCAGGACAGTGTCTGGAATAACCAAACAGCCTCCACACTCAACAGTCAACCTCCAGCCAGAGCCTGGGGCAGCGGGCCACCCTCTGTGGCCACTTACGTAGGACTAACATCACAAAAATGTGGCCCAACCAAGTGGGGCATTTACATCAAGGATTACACATTTAGCACTGGCCACACTGGCAACAACGGCACCCAAGTAAGACTTCACAGCATGTTGCAAAACCAAGCTTAATAGTGATTTTTCCTGTTAAAAGGATGTTAGGAGTGTGGCTGCCTCTGCCAGACACTCCCACCCAGGACCCTCCTGCACAGCTACTGCAACCCAGTGCTGCCCAGTACGTACCAGTACAGACTTGCCCAGCTCTTGGGGACCCAGGATCTCTGCTCAGGCTGAGGGATGTGGCTGCACGTTCAACCAGCAGCGAAGCCGAGCACACATGCCAGAGACCCACAGGCACCAGACGGACACCGGCAGCACCCACGGCACCCACGGCCACCTCCCCTCCCCTGGGGCTGGCAGAGGCTGGAGGTCACTAGTGCAAGCACACACTCGGCACCCTCTGGGCTCAGCTGTGGGTCCCCTGAGTGCCGGCACGGCCCCTCCGTCCCCCCGCCAGCACCCCTGCTCACACCCGTCCCGCCGACCCCCTCCCACAGCCCAGACCCCCGTGTTTCCAGCCTCACCCCTTGAAAAGTCCCAGTTCGCTGCAGTTTCTCCACAGCCCATCCACTACCACCACCCAAGGGGGTTGGGTTCTGGTTGTTGCCTTCACGGATGCTATAAATGCTCAGGTTTTATGTCTCTGCACATCTACCTCCCTCCCCTTCCTTACCTTCCCAGCAGAGGAGATAAGAATCCTCACGTTCCACACGTCCAACTAGTGCCACTGACCAGGTCTGTTCTTATCACATCCTCCCTCATCATCAGGTTTGTCTCAGTATTTTCTTCTTACGGCTCTTTTGACCAGACACTAAAGGAGCAGACACTCTCCTTTCGCACACCCTTCAACCCCCATTGCAATGAACATCTTTAATTCCCCTAAGAAAGCAGCAGTCTCACAGCCCTAGGTGGCAATGCTGCTGAAGGCAGGTGACAGAGGTGTGCTGCTTTTGTAGAGACAGTACCGAAATGCGGGACCCCTTGGGTTATATCTCCGATGTACTGCATTAAAGACTAAGCAATAAGCATTATCCACAAATGCTTCAACTTTTAAATAAGTTACTAAGTTGTTGAAGGAATGCAGAATTTTAAATGCTACCCTTCCACTTTCAAAGAGAAAAGAAAAAAAAAAAAATAGTCAAAAAAGAGCAGAACTCTGAAGAGCAATCAGTATTCCAGATATGCTGTCAGTACCAGTTCTCTGTTTCCACCTCAGGCTCACCCTTTGGTTCAGAGCCTTCCAATTCATGATGTTCAGGACTTGGTACCTAAGACTGTGTCCAGACTGTGATGTTCTAAAAATCCATTAAAAAAAAAGTAGTGTTTTGCAGAAAGAGTTTTTATGACACTTATCAACATTTTAAAAAATTTCAGGCATGAGGCTAGCCTTTCACTCCACCCCCCAACTGAGGCAGAAAAAAACCCAATAGAGTGAAATAAATCCGTGTTCTGAGTATGAACTTAGTTAATCAATTAAACAGCATAAAGAAAAAACTGTTAATGCAAACATTTCTTGTGTTTCATGGTAAGCAGAACAGCAATACAGATACAGGTAGGAGAGAAGGAGAAGAAAAAGCAGCAAATAAATTATCCTCTGGAGTTGAGAGAGGCTATGTGGAGATAAGCTGTGTGGAAAGTTAAGCCATCACATCAAATCAGTATTCTTTACTGAATACTGAGATACTGACCACAATAGTTTAAGTAGAATAATATATTTTAGTTCCCAGGGTCACCTTTCAACAGTAACTTCTTTGGAATCTACCCTTTACCACATTTGTAAAAGCAGAAAAAATTGGCCCCATCATGCTACGAAGTTCATTCTTCTCTTACGCTTAGTAAAATAATGTTATGTGCTTCCCCACATCCTCCAGGCAAAGCAGTTCTGACACCCTTTATCAACAAAGCCATCAGAGCTGTTCCCATCTTCTCCCCCTGCAAGAAGTGGAAGAGTATTTTTTTTCTGTGACAATCTCAGCTGAAGAATCACTTTGCAGCTGTACTCACATCTTGCTTCCCAACCTGATAATAAGAGAGCTAATGAATTATCAAAACATGCCTTCCTTATGAAATGAATTATAAGAATCCAGAGCCTGTACAGAATTGTGGGTGATAGAATAAGATCTGTGGCATACAGGCACTTATAATCTACTTTTCATTATTAGCAATGGCTTCAAAACAGAAAGACAAAACACTGTTTCATAGTTGGGAGGTTAATACCCCCATGTTTAATAAAGGGGAGATAAAATATATATCCCTCTGATATGTAGATTTTCTGAGAGAAGACATGCATTAAGACTGGTGTCTAGAGATATGGATTAAATGTTCATTTTGGACTATAACATTCAAGTGCTCATTATAATATTGCAATAAGAATGCATACAATATAGTTCTTTTAAGGAAAAAAAAAAAAAAAACACATGAGAAAAAAAGTGCAATCTCTATACAGGAAATGCTTTTGAGAACCATAAGCCTCCATCTTTCAACCTTTCATTCAAGAATTGCTTGAATAGCAATCACACATTATTTCCCTCTATGCTGGGAAGAGCCCCACATCACAACAGCTCCCAATGAATATCAAAATTTAACTCAAATAATCCTGCTTTTCAACTACTTTTTGCATCTTACCCAAAGAAGAACCAAAACAGAAAAGGAAGACAGGCAAACAAGCCAGTGTTGTACTCCTCAGAATGCCTTTGCTTCTCCATCAAGGACAGACTGAAGCCACACTCCCCAGCTGCCCCCGCCATCCCCCTGCACCCAGTGCAGGGAGGTAAAATCAAAGGAACAATAGTTTAAAATAAAAAATTTGGTAACAAAGTAGAGAGAGACCTCACAAATGCTCCAGTCAAAGTTACTTACGTGCCTCCACAATTCAGACCAGTAGTAAGCAGCCCAATAGATTTTTACCAGTCATAATATCTTTACTCAGCATTATGCCCCTGGACTCTTGAGTAACTCTAATACTTTTTCTAGATAAGGAATCCTGCATGACAAGCATCAGGATTAGAAACGATCACAGAAATCCTGGTGTCAGAGCAAAGAATCCATTCTAAAAGGACAGTAATGCTTCAGCGCCAATTATCACTGTCATCCTTTCAAAGTAAAGAATGTATTTCCTGTTAAGTAAAGAATAATGAGCTGAGCAAGTAGCACATATTTTATCTACACAGCTGTAAAGCATGACTCAAAGTGGCAGGATGTATTAGGGAGGGTCTTGTTTCATACTAGATCTGGTAAAATATGGCCCCACTCTGAGATGGGGCTTCAAATTCCTAGAATATACGTGGCTCCACCTTCCTTTTGACACCACAATTTTACATTCAGTCACCAGCAATCCACAGGCTAAATTTTTAGACTGACACAGAAGCTCTCCCTGGTACGTCCCTCTATAACAGTAAAAGGAGACTAGGCCTTTTCAGATAATGGGCAGTTAATACAAGCATGAATCCATACAAAACAGAGTATGGGGCTTTCAGTGCTGAATCGCACTCAATGGGAGTATTTGGTTTGCATTGATCTTGTGAGTTACACACATGGTTATGTACTAAAGCATCCCATGCCCCCAGGGGCAGCCCTCTGAAGGGGCAATACTGAACACGGTGTTCAAGAACAGGACAGCAGGATCACGCAACCTACCACAACACAAGACCTGCCTTACTGAGCCTGGCTGAAGTTTCACATATTCGACCTTCCCATCTCTAGCAGTAGCCATCAGCAGATAGGAAAGAAAACAAAAACAGTGATGTAGATCAGGTACATGCTGATACTCCTGAATACCCCCTACAGATTCAAACAACTTGTGGCTCAGGGACTTCTTAATTTCAGTATATTTTATAAACTGTCCTGGGTTTCTCTTCAGGATCTTGTCCCATCTCCCCTTGAAAGTATTTATATTTTAGCATCCAAAAGTTTTTAGGGCACTAATGTCTGGACAGCATACAAAGTCTGAGGTGATCTGAAATTGGTGGAAGGGCACATGTAAGCTGAAGATGATGTCAAGATGAGGGGCAAAGGAAAACTGCACCAGCTGTCTCTCATATGCTAACACTTTACATATGAAATTGTTAAAAGCCTTGGAACATCAGAAGGGAAGGAGAAGAAAGGAAATTTCCTATGTCATACACTTTGCAATGGCATGTTGCAAACGTGTTGACTCAGGACCATGATGTCAAAACACAGTGAGAAAACAGAGGGACAGATATGGGAAAACAGCTGCACATCACTCACTTTTACTGGGTGGCAGGGGCATCCCAGCTGCAAGCATATGCAACGGCTTAAAGTACATGAGCAACCACCAGTTCCAACAACAATCATTTCTTTTCTGTTAACACCTACCATACACACATCCACAAGGAATGAAAAAATTTCATTAAAGATGATTTTGATTCTCAGGAAGTCACTGATTCTCCTTAGAATGTGAATTCAACAAATGTAAAGACATAAGGAGTGAAGGTATATCCCTGTGACCCCTTTGTCCTTGAGCAGTGCCCAGTACAACCATAACACATACAGACTTGCACTGTCAACCATGTTGATAAACTGCCCACGCCTTCTTCTGATTATGTATTCTAACACACCTGCAGTTTCCAACTCTGTCCCTCCAGCAAATCTTTTGCCTATTCCTACAAGACACCATGTAGAGATACACACTCAGTTGCCCATCATTAGATTGATGGATTATCTGTATCTCAACCTAAAGCTGACCATTCCTGTCGCAAGTAGATCCCCCAGTCTTTCTAGATGTAAAGCTTGAGTAGCACTAATGAAATGAGGCAAACCAATATGACAGTATCTCTGCTAACATATGTTAGGTAATGAAGTGGAGGAGATCAATCTTTCGAAGAGCAGCATGGCCCTGTGAGGGAGGGCATCACAGTCCTATCCCTTCCAAAACCCCTCCACAATACTTCTCACCTGTGCTAGATGCAATGGCACCGAGTACTAGTGCAAGCAAAGAGCTTCCAACTAACTACCACAGGCTACTGTGAAGGACCAGGGTTAAAGTAAAATGAGTATATAGCCTCAAGGCCATGTGTTAGTTTCTGTTTTCAGAAACTGAACAGACTAAATTCAGGGAGAGTTGGAACCTTAGTACTGTGGTAAGCTTTCTGGCCACAGAGCCACACTGGTGAGAGTGGACCCTGGGGAAGAGAAGGCAGAGAAGGACTGTGTGCCTCCTCTACCTTCCCAGCTAGACAGCCATCAAGCTGAGCGGAGTTGCTGGGAAGAGCAGCTGAACTCACCGGCTGCCTCTCCCAGCCAGCCAGCACGCTCTAGCTGGGCGCCTTCAGCGTCAGCCACTGCAGCACAGCACGACACGGAGGACTGTGGGAGCTCCACGCTGAAGTGGGGAGCAGACACAAGCGGCAGCTGCCAGCCGTGGCACCCGTACCACGCAGGAAGGGAAGCCTGCTCCGCGACGCGGAGGGAAAGGCTCACAGCCTGCAGCGAGCCCAAGACTCCCCCTCTCAGCTCTGAGGACGCGGTTCATCACCCAGCTGCATGGACCAGCCTAGTACTTGGTGATCTGGTTTCTTTCCTCTCCTGTTGAGCAGCTGGGTGACCTTAAATAAGGCAATCCCAGCTCTGTGCTCCAGCACTTCTCCTTCCCCACATTTTATCTATGTCACTCAGGTATTATGTCTAGTCTCCTTTACACAGCGCTTTAAGATCTAAGGAGGAAAGCACTGTGTGACAGTTAAGCAGTAAGTCACTGAAAACTTAGAAAGTAAATACTTCCTGAAGAAACAATCTTACGAAATCACACCTCTTGGCACATCACAGGTAAAGTGCAGATACTCCCTGCTATGATTGTGTATAATTCCAAAACTATAGTGTTATTAAGTATACCATCATCACACTGTTAACTCCTAACTCTTGTAAAGCACTCTTACTATTTTGTGTTACAACACTAGAAATGAAAAAATCTTATGGAGCCATTTAATCTCCCCAGCACCTCTGTGCGAGCGCATATGTTACCAGGCAGGTTTCTATTTACAGTAAACCTGCTGTGTTTTTTTCAATCTACTTTTAAGTCTCCAAGAAGAAAAGGCTTAAAAAGCATATCCTATAACTTAACAATACTCATTCTGATGTTGTGGCTAATTAGCATCTCCTACTCAAACCTGTGTCAGACCCTTCCTACCTTTACTTCTTCTCTCAGGACTATATACTCAAATAATCTGAGAGACAGAGTCATTTATTGTTACTTTTAGCTAAGCAATAAGCATACAGGCTTTTACAGTTTTCTCTTTAATATGAATATAAACTGGTCAAAGACTTTTGTATTTCCTTGTCATTTTTATAACACATTACCAAGCCTTTTCTAGTAGGGAGATGAACATACTCAGTATTCTAGACAGGGTCGTCCACAGCTATCTACAGAGAGATTACAAATTTCTGCTTCAAAAACTGAAGACTACAGGAATAACCCTTAACTGTTAAACAAAAATATAACACTGCAGACTCTTGGGAAAGCTGTACAAACAGTCTGAGTTGCTGCCTCAACTGCTTAAAAGAACAGAGTGTTTTGGAGGTAGATGTGAACCATGGTAGGGCTAATGTCATTCAATGAGCCTAAAAAAAGTGGTTTGATCTACTCTCACTTTTTAGCACTGTAAAGTCAATGAACAAGTCAAACATACAAAGAAATTCACAAGATGAAACACATTCAGTATTCTGAGGACTCAAAAAGCAAAAGCATCAGAACAGCAAACTTAGTAACAGCCTCCTTTTGCTAGCTAGAAACAGATCTTCTCAGTGAGAGGTCAGAAACAGCAATTCCACAACCTAAACTCCAGGCTTCAACTCCTACCCTACCCACAAAGAAGTCAGCACTTCTATGTTAAGAGCAACAACATGCAGGCAAAGAAATTGGCATTACACTAGGGAGGTATAAAAGAATGATGCTATTAAGAAAAAACTAAACTGCCTAGAGAGGAAAGGAGGAACGTGTTGCCAGGCTAGATAAGCCTTCCTTGGTATTTGGACAGGAAAGGAAGGTAATTGCTTTAATGATCTACTTCAGAGGATGGTAATAAAAGCATTCACTGGCCTTGATTTGTAGCGCAGCTAAACACACCACCGCTTAGACAAAGTTATTTTCCAAATAGCTTCTGCCATGAACAAAGTACCAGGCACACCTATTCCTGGCTTCCCTGTATTGATGATTGGCATTTGAAGCCAACAAGCAGACAACTAGTAATAGATGTTTCTACGAATTCCTCTCTTTCTGAATCTGCTGTCAGCCTTCCTAGGGGAAGCACTGCTCCCACCTGCAATAGCAGAGGCTGCTGGGGAACGAACAACCAGCACTGGCACCTTCTCCTCACAAGCTCACAAGGACCTACCTCCGAGTGGCCAACAGGGCTTGGAGCTGCTGGCAGAGAGGACTGCCTTCCACGTACTGCTCCCAGCACTGCCCACAACCCATACGGCTTCTGATTGTTAACAACAGCCACTATGGGCGGACTGTAAAGCTGCTTGTGTAAACACCACGCTATAACCCAGCAAGGACTCTTGAACTGTAAATACCAGTTCCTGAGGAAGCGGTATCTTGAAAAATAAGTATTTTTTTTCTAAAATACAGCCCTGACCACATATTTGCAAGTGCGTCAGGAAATGTCCCAGACACGCAACGTCCACGTATGAATTGGGATTTGTATCTGGAGAGGCAAAGGCAGGATGCAGACGAGGTGGAAAGCATCACGGTGCACTCGCTTTGTCTGTACTTTTGGACAACCGAAAAACCAGGACCATCAGGCGTGTCCTACAGTGTACCTGCACTGCAGAACAGACACATCTGCTGAGACCACTTCCACCAATACTAACATGCAGTATTTGTGAAAGGATGAGCAGAGCCAATAAATATTTTCAGTAGGCTGCTCAGCAGCACAAGGCAAAACTATACATTCCTGGAATGAATAATGAGTGACTACAGTCAACAGTTAATTATCTGAAAAGTACCACTTTGCTATCAAAAGACAAAAGTCTGTATAGGAAGAAATTAATTACCAACTTTTCTTCTTAATATGTTCAAACATTAGAATTTACCTCTGCTGCTTCTGCTTTTTTCTCTTCCAATTTTGAAGAAGCTTCATTTGCCTTGTCACCATGCTGTAAACAGAGAAAACAGATGCGTAGTTATTAAGAATTTAAATTATGCCTTCTATGTAGAGAAATTCTCAAACATCTTGGACCACGTGTGATTCCCTTCACCTACCACAACACAACAGAAGGGAACATTCTAAGTTTTCCTTCTCGCTAATGGACGGGATTTATAAATAACCTGCCAAATAACTTCAAGCGAAATCACAGTCAGAAAGTCATGACTTCCAGGGCAGTACATGTAACAGTGGTTCTTGTGAAAAGTTCAGGAAAATATTAAACTATTCACTCATTCCTCACCAGCACAGCACTCTGATACTTGCTTCGGAAATGCTGTCAGTCCCACTGGCTTCAGCAGAAACCGGACAGCTCTCAGAGAGACCAACACAACATGTGCAAACATGAGCATCCATGCCAACATCTGAACAACTTTCCTCAGGTGCATTAAAATGCTCATTATGCCCAGCCCTCCTTACCTAGAAGAAAGCTATTACTACAACTTCTAGAATTCTGCTGCTGATATATAAAAAATAAATGCTCTAACAGTTCAGGCACAGGAGCACATTAGGAAACACAGTTCTTCCAGGTTCCCCAAACCTCCTGCATCTGTCATCCCCTCCAAGACTTTAAACCTCTGGCTTTCATCTAACCTGATGTGCAAACCCATTTCCTCCCCATGTGTGGCAATGTACAGAAAGACAGTTTGCTCAGCATGCACACTTGCATCCAGTGCAAGTTTTACTGTCTGCATCTCTGAAAAGTGGTGAACGCAGTCCCTCAAAAAACATTTTTCAAAAACATATTGTTTAATCTTTAGAATTAAAAAAAAAAAAAAAAAGTAAAATGCAAGAAGTTTTACCATGAATGTAAAAGGCAACTTAATACAGCTATTATCTAATACCTCAGCTAGTATAACTTCCCACAGCAACTGAGACATCTGAGAATGAGGATTCATGTCTGGTTTGTTTTTATTAAGTAAAGACAGGAGATGATTTGAGACTCATTTATTCCCTTCTCTTTTGAGGACTGAGCAGCAGGAGGTGAAGTTTGCTAACCCACTAAAGTAATGAGTTCCTACAGATTTTTCTTTACATGGCTATAGGGAGAAAGTAATGATCCATGTAACACCACACTATCTTCAACAGGAATGTGTTCAAGCACATCAGCAGACAGGCTGGGAAAATACTAAAACTCAATGAACAAATAAAGCTAAAAGTAAAAAAGAGCATGTCTCTAATCTGTTTCCACTATGGTAGTACACGACAAAAATTTCAAAAATTATTTTAGACAACCTCTCATAATTCAAGTTTTTAAAACGAGTTTGGGCATGACTAAGATACCTGACGAGTTTTAAAATTGAAAATGCTATTCTCATATTCCAATCATATCTCTTCAGAGGAGAAACAAGCCCCACAGGTTGTCCTTTCAGGTAAGAGTTGAATTGATTTACTGCTTCATAATACCACTTTCAGTATAGACACAATTAACCCAGTTATCTGTGCTTTTTACCGCTACAATAAAAGCACACCACATACATACCAATAGAAGCAACACCAGTGAGTGTGCTCTTGCTGACAAAGTGGTATCTCCAGAGCCAGAGCTGCTGTAAGACTCAGGAGCTACAGCTCCTGCCCAGCAAAACTTGGTTGTGCAGACGGGGCTCTCCTCCTAAACAGACACCCTTGGCCTCACAGCACTCTAAAAGTCAAGTGCTAACCTGAATCCAGCTAATTAAGCAAGCTTGTCTTTCTGCACATTGCATGTATTTCACTGCCTTTATTCACTTGCTTCTTCAGATTTGGATACAGCTTTTAAAACAACACCACCAATTAAAGCCCAGGCTTGTTTTTGTTTTGTTTTGTTTTTCTCTTTTATTAAACAAAGTTGCGGAACGCAGGTGCCTTACTTAGATCCTACCGAGTGTGCCAGACTTTTACCAGGGCCAAATCTGGTGTTACCCTTCCTCCCCGAGCCCATCTCCTCATCCTCACACCAAGAAAACCCATACCAGACTGGAGACAGCACCGGTAGGGCACCCCACCCCCGGACTATGAAGAGGGGGACAGGCTGTGTTTCAGTGGGTGGATGGAGCTCGGAGTGTCCCCTCTTGGGCATAAAGGCTTCTGTGTCTGCTTGCCTCAAGCAGACGTTTCTCCTGTTTTCCCACCCCAGACCAGTCGGTCAGGTACAGTGGTCTGTGCTGGTTGCAGAGGGCAGGACAAGGGGGCTGGCAGGACAAGGGGGCTGGCAGGACAAGGGGGCTGGCAGGACAAGGGGGCTGGCAGGACAAGGGGGCTGGCAGGACAAGGGGGCTGGCAGGACAAGGGGGCTGGCAGGACAAGGGGGCTGGCAGGACTTCCTCAACCACCCTTCGAGCAGAATATTGACTCCACGCCCCTGAGGGACCCCGGGGAGGCTTCACTGCCCGGAGAGGACAAGGAATGGACCAGGACAAGGAGAGCAGCTTTGCCACCCCTAAACTCAAGATGGAGAGAGATTGAATGCATTCTGTCTTCCCTCCAGAAGGCTATGTCAAACAGCACCTCTAATAATGAGACTTTGACTTAACAGCCAAATACTGTTTATTATAACCGTGGGATAGAAGCACGTACGACCCAACCAAAGTAATTTTTTTATCCAGTAAGTTGGAGTCAGGCACTGTGTACGCATTAAGCTCTGACACTCTCCAGCCTCAGATAAGAAAACAGTCTATGAAAGTATAACTCCACTTGGAAGTCTGCCACCTGAGGAGGCAACCTTGGAAAGCACGCCTTCTTAACACATCTTCTGAGAAGACCTTGCTGGTTCCCTGAACAGTTGATGCTTACGATATGAGAAGGGACCCTGTTTCAACAATACCCTTCAACAGCTCTTTTATGCTCTGTATTTCCAAGCTTCAAACTGTCTGCTAAAGAAATAAATACATAAATAAAACAAAAAACAATAAATTAACCTGCTTAGCAGGAGTCTAAATTCAGGTTTTCTGGAACAGTGTGCATCCATTCCTCCTTTACATTCCCAAGTGGATGACAGAGTTGACTTTTCCTTTGGGCACTCTTTCCTTTTCCTCTCATCTTTCCTTACAATGCCAAAGAAACATATCCATAACCAAGCCAGTGGACAGGAGCAGCTCCAGCTCTGTCACACGAACAGTGGATGTACAATTGAGATTACATTTCTAGTATAACTAACGAACTAACAACAATTCCTTATAGTTGTTTAGTTGGCCGAAAATATTTTCCAACTGTTCTAACTAAAAATAAAACACACAAACTCACCCATAATTACATGTCACAAAATACACAAGTATCACGGAGAAGAAGGTTTATCCCTAGATCTTCATCCTGCTCTACAGTGCACAAAAATGTCCCGACTCTATTGTTTTATAGACACACCTTTAACTTCCAATTCAAAGCGCACTCTGGCCTAGGTAAAAAGCACAGAGCAAAATACTAACTGCTGAACACACAACTGCATTCCCAGCCCACGCAAAAATCAGACCCCAACTAAAGGTCTCGCCTCAAGAAATTCCTTCTAAACCTCGGGAGACTCATCAGCATTAACGAGCCTGCCGTTCAAAGCTGTTGCGCAGCATCTCGGAGGACTGCAGTGACGACACGCTCGGTAACTGGGTGAGAAGGGAAGTCTCCTTGCAAGATTCTCAGCTGAAGCCAACCAACTTTGCATTACAGAAATTAAAGGAGACGTGTCATTTTAGGCAGATAGTAATCTGACCTTCGTTTTCAGTTGCAATTGGGAAGGAGGCGGAAGCGTTTGATGCTGCTCAGAAAACTGCCAGATGGAAAGAGGAGTCAGGGGAACTACAGTCGAGCAATGTAAGGAATGGAAAGGTGAAATCTAGATTCTTCTTACAGCCATCCCATTCTGCTGTAAATACACCAGCCAGTAAATACCTTGGTAGAGAAACCAGTGAACCCCTTTTGCGTCTGTGGCTCTCTTTCATTTCTTCAGCTTCACTCACTCATCCTTTAGACCATGAGGTCTTCCAGGAAGGAACTGCCACGTGTGATACACGTGCACGGGACGAGAGCGAGCTCCAGTCTCACGTGGGGACCCGCTGGTGCTATTCTGGCGCCGATGGCTGCAACGATGGGTTTCCAACAGAGAGCATGTGGTGGAGTGATTTCCTTACCCATCACAGGCAGTCACGTTGGCTCGGTATCTTTTATTACCCTGGAGCTGGTCACACAGGGCCACCTCTGACATTCGTGCCACCACTTAATGCAGCAATTCCCAAACCTTCTCCCTTGTCACTCCGTGCCGCCTCCACCACACCGTACCACTTGACACAACAAATTACACTTAAAGACATTACTAAACACCCATCCAAGCTACTTAAGAGAAATTTAAAAGTACATTTATAAATTGAATGGATTTTCATCTACCTGATTATATATTTAGCAAATACATTAAGGCGATGTTTTCTCTGAAAGCCACCTGACACAACCTGTACTTTCTGCAAAAGTTTAACAGAACGCAAACTTTTTTTTCACTGCTGCAGAGAGACACCAACCGTTTCCTCGTATGACTAATAAATTACAAAGTGCAGTTTTTAAAGCAATGGCAGGTTCGTCACAGTAACGAGTAGCAACCCAAGCCCGGCCAAACCGTGGGGAGCCATCAGAGAGCGGCGGTTTATTCTGGGAGCATCCATCAAGCAACGACTATTGCTGGCAACCCCACCGCCTACCTGCCGTTAACAACATGTTTCTGGAAAAAGGGCACTCTGGGGGTTTTTTGGGGTTTGTTTTTTTTTTTTTTTTTTTTCCCCAAAGCTGAAACAGGTCCCATATCAATTCCGCCCTGCGCCGCACACCGCGGCCGTCCTGGTTTCGTCAGCGAGCCGGCTTGCGCGAGTGGGAAAACGACAGAAATAGCACGGAAAAACCCGTTTTTTTTGGCGAAGGGGTGATGGAAGCACACCCCGGGAACACCACGTTCCCTGGCTTAAAACGCTACGGCGCGGGCGTTTAGGTTAAAAAAAAAAAAAAAAAAAAAAAAAAAAAAAAAAAAAAAAAAAGAAGAAAAAAAGCGGTGGTTTGCGGCAAACCCCCCCCCCCCCCCCCCCTCCTCACGCCCTGAGGGCGGCGAGTGGCGGGAAGCCCCCGCCGCCCCAAATCCCGGGGTGCCCCCCCCCCCGCCGCCCCAAATCCCGGGGTGCCCCCCCCCCCCGCCGCCCCAAACCCCGGGGTGCCCCCCCCCCCCCCGCCGCCCCAAACCCCGGGGTGCCCCCCCGCCGCCCCAAACCCCGGGGTGCCCCCCCTCGCCCCCGTATTTACCATGGCGTACCACCACCTCGCAAAGGCCATGGCGCTCCCCGCTTCTCCTCCCCGGCCCCGGACCGCGCCCCGGCCGCCGCCTCCTCCCCAGGGCGGGACCCGCCGCCCCCTCACACCCGCCCCCGGCCCCATCTTACCCCCTCGGGCGCGGCGGGGGCCCCGGGCTCCAACATGGCGGCCGGGCGGCGGCGGAGCGGGAAGGACGGCTCCCGGTTTCCCGGTTCCCGGCGCTGCAGCGGGGCCCCGCAGCCGCCTGTCCCGGCGGACGGTCCCTCCCCTTCCTGCTGGCGCCGGGCCGGGAGCGGGGAGCGGGGAGCGGGGAGCGGCCGCTGTCACCGGGGTGCGAGGTGGCGGCCCCCCCCCCCCCCCCCCCAGAGCTGGTTTCAGGGCGGTTTTTGGAGGGCAGGGTGGGGACTCTGCAGGCGCTTCCCTTTTTTTCCGCGGGGCAGCCGGCCTTTCCGATCGGCTGGGCGGTGGGGGCGGACGCCCCGACCCGCAGACGGCGACCGGCGCCTTGGGCACCCTGACACCCCGGCACCCTGACACCCCGGCACCCTGACACCCCAGCACCCTGACACCCTGACAACCCAGCACCCTGACACCCTGAAACCCCCACACCCTGACACCCCGGCACCCTGACACCCCTGCACCCTGACACCCCGGCACCCTGACACCCCGGCACCCTGACACTGACACCCCTGACACCCCGGCACCCCAGCACCCTGACACCCAGCACCATGACACCCCTGCACCCTGACACTGACACCCCTGACACCCCTGCACCCTGACACTCCAGCACCCCAGCACTCTGACACCCTGACACCCCAGCACCATGACACCCCTGCACCCTGACACCCCAGCACCATGACACCCCTGCACCCTGACACTGACACCCCTGCACCCTGACACTGACACCCTGACACTGACACCCCTGACACACTAGCACACTTACACCCTGACACCCCTGACACCCTGACACTGACACCCCTGACACACTAGCACACTTACACCCTGACACCCCTGACACCCTGACACTGACACCCCTGACACCCCAGCACACTTACACCCTGACACCCCGGCACCCCAGCACCCTCACACACTCACACCCCGAGCACCATGACACCCCTGCACCCTGACACTGACACCCTGACACTGACACCCCTGACACCCCTGCACCCTGACACCCCAGCACCCCAGCACTCTGACACCCTGACACCCCAGCACCATGACACCCCTGCACCCTGACACTGACACCCCTGACACCCCAGCACCCTGACACCCTGACATCCCTGCACCCTGACACTGACACCCTGGCACCCTGACACCCCTGCACCCTGACACCCCTGACACCCTGACACTGACACCCCTGACACCCCAGCACACTTACACCCTGACACCCTGACACCCCAGCACCCTGACACCCTGATACCCCTGCACCCCAGCACCCTGACACCCTGACACCCCTGCACCATGACAACCCTGCACCCTGACACTGACACCCCTGACACCCCAGCACCCTGACACCCTGACACCCCTGCACCCTGACACTGACACCCTGGCACCCTGACACCCCTGACACCCTGACACCCCTGACACCCTGACACTGACACCCCTGACACCCCAGCACACTTACACCCTGACACCCCAGCACCCTGACACCCTGACACCCCTGCACCCTGACACCCCAGCACCCAAGCACCCTGACACCCTTGACACCCCAGCACCCTGACACCCCAGCAGCCTGACACCCCAACACCCTGACACCCCGGCACCCTGACACCCTGAAACCCCCACACCCTGACACCCCAGCACCCTGACACCACTGCACCCTGACACCCCGGCACCCTGACACCCTGAAACCCCAGCACCCTGACACCCCAGCAGCCTGACACCCCTGCACCCTGACACCCCGACACCCCAGCACCCTGACACCCTGGCACCCTGACACCCCGGCACCCTGACACCCTGACACCCATGACACCCCAGCACCCTGACACCCCAACACCCTGACACCCCGGCAGCCTGACACCCTGAAACCCCCACACCCTGACACCCCAGCACCCTGACACCACTGCACCCTGACACCCCGGCACCCTGACACCCTGAAACCCCAGCACCCTGACACCCCAGCAGCCTGACACCCCTGCACCCTGACACCCCGACACCCCAGCACCCTGACACCCTGGCACCCTGACACCCCGGCACCCCAGCACCCCGGCTCCTCCAGGACCCAGCACCCCAGTTCCTCCAGATCCTTGACACCCTTGGGTCCTCCAGCACCCCAGCACCCTGGCACACCAGCACCTAAACACACTGACACCCTGGCACCCAGACACCCTGGCACCCCAGCAACCCAGCACCCCAGCTCCTCTAGAACCCTGACACGCTGGCTCCTCCAGCAGCCTGGCACCCTGGCACCCCGGTTCCTCCAGCACCCCAGCATCCTGGCACCCCAGCTGCTCTGGCACCTTGGCACCCCAGCACCCTGGCTCCTCTGGCACCCTGGAACCATGGCACCCCAGCTCCTCTGGAGCCCTGGCACCCCAGCACCCTGGCTCCTCCAGCGCCGTGACACCTCAGCTCCTCCAGCACTTCGGCTTCTCCAGCACCCCAGAACCCTGACACCCCGGCTCCTCCAGCACCCCAGAACCCTGGCATCCCAGCTCCTCAGGAACCCCGGTACCCCGGCTCCTCCACCAGCCTCCAGCCTTGACCATCACTACAGCCTAAACTGGCACAAAAGGCCGGGGAACACCTTCCTGCCGTGTGAGTGCCCTCAGTTTTGGTGTCAGTCACGTATCCTGCGGGTCGGTGTGGTGTTCACGCTGCGGGTGTTAACGGGAAAAACTTTCAAGGTCTCATGACCAGTCTGTCCCAAAAGTCCCAGACCATGTGAGTTGTTACACAAACTCACAAACTGCCCGGGATGTACTGGCAGCTCGTCCAAAAGGTAATGCTTGAGTGAAAGCTGCAGGAAGGTTAAGCACAAGCAAAACCACCCTGATCAACAGCTGGAACATCCTCCGTGAGTAGCAATGGTGCAATCCCGAGCGGGGTTGGGACAAGTCTCCTGTTCATGTGGATGTGTAGCTGGAATGAAAAATTCACCTACCCAGAGCGGTTCTCTGAGGCTGCCTTGGTGCAGAAACTAACCACAGCTGGAGCAGTGTTGGTAAATATTCGTGAAGGATTGTGGCGAGAAGGTTGTGGTTAATAACGTGAAGCCAACCTCCATCGAGAGGGGTTCAAAACGCAATAGTTGCCTAGCCGTGCGAAGGCGCACACACACTCCAACGTGGAGGTTGTGTGCAGGAATTGTTCGCCGGCTTTGTCTCGCCCAGGCCTTGTTTGAGCACAGTTTAGGTAGAAGAAATAGGTGTTTGGGGTGCTCCGTGGTGGAGGACCCCAGGTTTAGGTTGGCTGGGTGGAACAGCTGTTGGATGAGCTGCATCCCTCCAAAGGTGCTGCAGCAGCAGCTGTTCCTGGGCACATTCACGTGCGATCAGGCTGTGTCTATCAGCGGGAAGAAGGGAAAATGTCCAAGTCTTTGGGGAGTGCCCACCACTTAGGCAGCTACTCCCTGCTTCCTCTGGGGAAGACGCGGGAGAGCTAAGCCACTAAGTGGGAATTCTAAACCCAATTAGTGCTGGTGCCCTCTCCTGTCCGAGGGAAGGGGACGAGTGGGCGTGAGCGAACCCCTCGAGGCCTTGGGGAATGTCTTTAGCCTCCAGAGGGGACACGTCATCTGGAAGCCGTCCCTGCTCTTCCTTTCTGATTAACTCCGGGCAGGTTTATGGCTGGTCTCTGAGATTGTTTCCGCCTGTGGCATGCGTGGGTTCTGCATTCCACTCCACGGGTTCCCCGCCTAAAATTTTAAGTGCCCAGACTTTCCGGCCGTGGAAGTTTGAAGCAGTTCCACAGGACCTTCTCACGAGGACGTGCGTCTGGGCAAGGAGCTCCGGAGGAGACGGAGGCGAGGGCTGTGTTTAATGCAGGGCTTTTGCACAAGGCTCTTGCGTGCTGTTTTATCTGGGTTCACTCTGACAGGTCTAACAGATTGTACTGCATTCCTCGGCCGCGGGCAGCGGACCCTCCCTGCTGACACAGTGCCCCAGGAAGCCCTCATCGAGCTTCACCCCTCTTGCTGCTACGTGCCTGATGACAAGCAGCTGGAGCTGACAGTAATTGAAATTGTGGAGCTGCGCAGTAACGAGGCAGTAATAGATTAAATCCTCGGTGATGTCGGTCTGTATCACGCTGGGCGGTGAGCGTTCTGCTGATCCAGAAGCACATCAATTCTAAGCTCTCCTAGTAAGAAGTTAGCTATAGGGATGCAGTTTGAATGCCGGGGAGGTGCAGGCAGGAGGAGAGCTGCCCGGACACTTGGTCCAGTTGCTGCGGCTGCTGTGTGTGTCTGCAGTGTTTTGGAAACCAGCTGGGCTCCAGCCTTGCAAGGAAATCTTGCTTTGGGGCAAAGGGGTTGGCACCGTTGTTTTTATTGGAATGCTCCCCTAGTTTGCCACTGCTTGAAGAAACCAGTTTATTGCCAATTTCTGCATAAATTTAGTCTTAACTGGCTTAGTTTACATTTATATGTAAAGGATGTAGACAGCACACATTTAGCAGGGGATGGAAAAGCAGGTACTCGTTCCTCTAACAGAAGAAATCTCAGCTGACGGGTGCTTGAGTCAGCTCATGAACTACTGCAGGCCTAAACACCACTCAAACAGTTTGCTCATTTGGGTAAAGATTTGGGTATTTGAGCGGAGGAGTTGCTAGTAATTATCCAAGTCAGTCTGACACTGTCTTTAATTAGGGGAAAGTAAGTTTTACTTGCAGCTTTCAGTAGTATACAGGTGTGTAATTTCAAAGTCACGTTGTGTTTTCTGTTGCTTTTTTGACTTATTCCTTCACAGCATCTGCAAGCGAACAAACCTGCTAAAGCCTGCTGAGATTTTATGTGGCGTTGGTAGTGGAGTTCTGCACAGGGCTGATCAGAAACAGATGCAGAAGATGATGGATGGTCCAGACATACGGTTTATTCAACGTATATTGTTTGGAGGAACAGCAGGTGGCCACATCAGGAACACAGGTTCTTTACTGTGGAAGTGTGTAATGTAAACAAGTGTTTAAAAACACTTTTTGGTGCTTTTAATAGTCACTTAGAGATATGTTTCATGGATTCTTTCACAAGTAATTCACGGTATTGGGAGTCTAAAATTGGAATCCAGAATCACAGACTCATTTTTCCCTACCATCCTCCATCTCCAAAGGGCACCAGCTGACGTCAGATGCCTCTCAATAAAAAGGTGCTCAAAATTCTGGCAGGATCGGATGAAATTTTTGCCAAGCATACATATTTTATTAGTGTAACT